AATGTTGCAAATGCTCATCTGGGATTTCCATTAATGGGCCAGCTGATTTCAGTAAATCCCGCAACACACTTTCCAGTAAAACCTGTGAATCACTTTAAGATGTCCTTCTGATTTGAAAGGCCCTATATCAAATGCAAGGACTATTAGTAGCAGGACATATTTTAATGATGTGTTCTACAGTTAATTAATTAATGAATTAGACTTCAAAGCCCTCCACAGGCTTGCTGCTCCCTACCTCTGTGACCTGCTAACTCCATTTGGCCTGTTTGCTCCCTCTGTTCAGCGGGCTCCAGCCTGCTCCTTGTCCCCTGCTCAGCCCATCATCGGACAGTCCATTCGCTTCGCCTTTTCCTTACCACCTTCAAGGCCCATCTCAAGACCCTCCTCTTTGACCTCACCTTCATCCTACCACTCCCTTCCCAGCCTTCCACCCCTCCTGATCTCAACCCCCAGATGATTCTCCAGCACCTTGGGATGTCCTCCCGACATGAAAGGCGCTATACAAATGTAATTTGTTATTGTTGTGAATGGAATGCGTTTAGGAGTACTGCAATTATTGTATGATTTAAAATGCTAAACTGAGCTAATGTGTCCACTAAATACAAGAGCACAATACTCTGATTACATTTTGTTGGAAATAAACAGATCCCCTCCTGCTCCATCAGAGTAAGAGCTTCTCAGTCCTGTTCACAATCTTCAATGATTTTCACATCCAGTAACATTTATGGATTTTCAAATTGAGGCAATCAGAGGTGCATCTAACTGATACAGATGAACCCATTGACTGACGATCTGGACAGTAACAACATACGTTTCAAGGGGTACAAGTTACCGCATAATAAGGATCATTAACTGCAACCCAATAATTTTACATGCACATTGGAAGCAGAAATAATCCTCAACACTGGAAAGTAAATGGGTTAATAAGCAACTTTAACCTAGATCATGAAAAAAAATCTGTGTTTGGAATGATTGTTGCAAAGTAGTAAGTTTTTGCAAGAATTCCTAAAATACGATGCAAAGTGGAACATCAGTAATGTAGGAATGAACAATCATCTGCCTTGCTCTCCTGCAATTGTTCCAGTCGGAGGGATAACACATAATTGACATGACACAGTCAAACAACTGAGGCTTAGCATGGCAGGAATGGATGGATCAGCAAGTTTTATGCGGTAACAAGACCAGAGAGATAAAGCACAGATACAGAGTTGTACTTTAATCAGCTCCTGGTCCACGATACCAAAGTGAAACACGCTGGAATGTTATTTTAGGAAGGGTTTAAGTTCAGCGTTCATGAGTTAAATGGTGAAATGGAATGCCAGAGCATTGTTTTACTTTTCTTTCATCGCAAACTGCCAGCTCATCTGACCTAGAAATCACATCGAGTGCCAGGGTTGGTGGTTTCTGGCTGCAAAACATGCTCTCTGTAAACTGGTTCAAATGTCAATACTTTACGTGCTACACAACCAGATTGTGATCCCCACAGACATGTAGTTTCACAAAGAGAACTACATCCCAAGCCACAAAAAACGTTTCAAATCACAGATCTGCTGGATATATTCATCCTCCTCACGCCAGTATGACTAATATCAGCATAGTGAAAACAGTAGTATAAGACTATATATTATTTTTACAATAGTTCTGCTGTTTTAAAATACTTGCCAGTCTCTTATGGCCAGTTTCCTCTGACAGGATATTCTGGGCACTGGTAAGTAAATTATGTCAGAACAATCCCAGCTGTTGTATCTCAAGCCCTTTCACGTCTCGAAGAAAAAATATGCAGAATGTCACAGTAACAAAGGTCTGATGAAATCTCTGAAGGTCAGCAGCTAATTTTCTGAAAAGTTTTACGCTGCAATTAACCAGAAAGGGGAATCAAACAAAATAGTGTATAGATTTGAACAGCTGGATCCAAATGCTGTGGATACCAATGCTGAATATAAATCACCATTACATAAATGCAGCTGCCCTTGTTTCAAACAGGTAGGCTGTACGGAGTGGGTCTGGGTTTGTACTGATTTCTGTAAATGAAGCAGGCAAATTGTTTCAAAATAATCATTTGCAGGAAATAGCATTTTCCCCATTATGCCAACCCACTATTACTAAAACTAGTCCCCAACGTATACCCAGAATGTACTGACAGTAGGGAAAACAAACAAAGAGATTTTTGTGGACATCAGAGAAATAACTGGAAAGAAGGAACAGCAAGATAAAGGGTGGATTAGAGAAATATTTACTCATTAGAACATTTGATTTTTCTCTACGTCTTTATTTTTGGTGCCTGACACATGTAGTAACCCATCATGTTCAAGAATATCCTGATAGACAAGAGTTCCTAACATGTATGTCACTTACACATGAAAAATTCCCCATGTCTGGAATGGAATATGCACGCTACCCTTCAGGGACACACGCTGCGTACCTAATTCTATAGAATAGTAAATGCAAGTTGGCAAGAGGCCAATATATATATTAGGGATTATCGCTAGAATTTAACCAGCTAAAACCCCATTGAGACCACTGCAAATTTCCCACTGTGTAGGACCACCGTGTGTGATAGGGCTTTGGCTTGCAGGGTTAACAGGAGATGAGGAATAATCCTTGCTCCCACTGACTGGTCACAAATTCACAAGATTGGTCTGGATGAAGAAGGCCCTTCAGCCAATCTGATCTCATCCTTCAGGCACTCCCAACCTACCACCAGCTCAATATCTACCCCTCCAAAAAATCTGTTGATGAGCTAGATTGACTGGTCTATCATCAGCAGTGTCAATTCAAACTCACCTGGCTCAGGAACCAGATCATCAAGACCACAGCAGGGAATGAACTTGATTCTGACATTGCCAAACACAACACCTTAGAGGCTGTTCAGCTCCAAGAAGACCCTCCTGACCTAACTGTACAGCGCCTTGGGACGTCCTCCCGACGTGAAAGGCGCTCAATAAATGGAATCTTGTTGTTGTTGTTGTTGTACTTACCTCTCCCTTCCCAAGGAGGATATCTGCATGCAGAAAATTATAATATGGCATGATGATCACCAATCGCAGCAATCAGCGCAACATAGAAATTAAATAAAATTGTCCAAACACAGTTTTTCTCCAAACACTTCTTTAGTTACCAGTTGCCTCCAGCCCATCAGACAAAGCTGTAAGAATAGAACAGGGAGGAGCACCCCCCCCCCCCCCCCCACTCCAAGTGACTCCATCCTCTAATGATGTGCATGCCCCACAGCACTCTGAACAATCTGTCTCTTTGTGCTCACTGTTTTACTCTTCTGATAACTCTTTGAGAAGCAGTTAATGTCTCAAATTCCTTTTGTATGGTTATTTGATTAATTTGCTTCATTATATTCTAACTGTGGAACATGTGCTTTAGTTTTTAAAAAATATAGGGACAATGGATCAATCTATGTTAAAAACTGTATTCAATTCACCGAAAGGAAAAGAAGAAGGACTCGCTTAAGTTCAAAGCCAGATTGATGCTGAGTAAAGGTGATAATGAGCCAGAGTAGTGTGGAATGAACTTGCCCAAGCTTCATTTCTGCTCATTCCCCATTGGCCATCTCCAAGCAGGGCACCAAGGTACACAAAGTGACTCAGATCCACCACCTACTGACAGAGGAAAGCATAGAAGGCAATGCCACAAGTACACAGCCACACAGACATAGGTTGGGTATTGTAGGCGAATACCAAACACACAGTGAGCACACTTAGTACTCATTCAAACAACACAAATTGTTTTAAATCATCATCATTCTCTTCTCCGTTGTATCCACAAGGGAACATCAATTTCAGGTAATGCATTCATGTAGCAGGGAGTAAAAAAGGAAGTCAAACAGAAAGGATTTTCACTTAAAGAGTGATAGATTGTGGTGTAGGGATGTTGAAGTAGATCGAATGAGTCTGCTAAAAAGGGAATTAGACATTTGTAGATTGTCACTTCTCGGCTGGACTACTCTAACATCCTCCTCGCTGGTCTCCCATCTATCACCATCCATAAAATCCAACTCATTCAGAACTCTGTCACCCGCATTCTCACCCGCATGAAACTCCGCTCCCCGATCACCCCAGTGAAAGGCTTTATGGGCCAAATACAGAAGAAACTCCATTGTTATACATGCTGTTTCAGGTCCGTAAACTGAATCATCACATAATGGGAAAGGAATCCAAAACAGCTACCACAACATCACTAAAAAATAGCCAACTTCTGGGTTGTCAGGTTGGGCCACGTGTTTCTGTCAGCTATGATGAGCAACTGCTTCCTGCACATGAGCACATGGTCACCTCCCCTCCCTCCTTCCTCGACATCCAACCCAGACACACTGTGGAGCACTGTGATGTTACTAAACGTGGAGGACACTGCAAGCAGTCGTTGATGTCACAGATACAATGCCGTAATTTCCAACCTACCTTTTCGTTAACAAGTTATCCTTCACCAGCAGGGCAGCAATTATAAACATACCTTAACCCTGGTAAACTAGTAACAGTTCCCATGATAAGATTTATTATGAATTAAAATGCCTAATTGAGCCCATTTTTAAAATTTTCTTTCAATGCTGAAAGTTCATGTCTAATGGGAACCAAACTGACACTAACCGGATTCATTACAGGATCATTATTAAGCATGAAAGAAGACATCCACTCTTTGTCCAAGTCAAGTTCAAAATGAGGTCCCAGAGGTTGCATCACCCAGCTCCCTACAGACGGAATTATATTTTAGTGATTCCATTGTTTTAACTAATCATACAATTCACTCACAGCATGGTAAAAAGACTTCAGTGTTACAGAAAAAATAACGTAACACGAGAATCCTTAAATGAAAGATTAGACAGAGGGGCTGCTTTGTACATTCCTACTCTCACCAATGAAGATTTCAAAGCATCAAGTTCAAATTTCATAGTCAATAAAATCCTTTATCAGAATTAGCTTGATGTGGTAAAGGCTTTGGTTCTAGCTGTCTATGCAAGATTGCAGTCTCAATCAATGAACGTTACAACTTACAGTGCGAGCTCTGTAACTCCTGCATTTGTAGTAGACACAGTATCAATGCGTTCCACCCTTTCTCAAAGGAACATCCTCTTGGTTCCACGTTTGTCTTTCCTCTGTACCCTGTTACACGATCACAACAGAGAGAATATGAAGCTGGAATACTGATTGCTCAAATTAGTATCTGCATTTCGAGGTTACAAGGTCAGGGTAACACAGTGCCGTACACAGTAGCACCACCATTCATTACACTGTATGTTATTATGTGCGATTTATTGCATCATGGCATTGCAATTCATCTACAAGATGCTCGAAACATTCCAGCAGTCTTTATTGATAATTTTACTTCAAGAGTCTTCCCTGTTCACTAATGTTCATGTCGACCAGAGGCATTACACACATCTGCCTTGTTTACATGGGGGAATGAATTCGGGATTGTTCTCTTTAACGTAAGATTAATTGAATCACCCAACAGTATATACTGTACCCCCCATAGGATGTGTGTCAGAGTGCTATACTTAGACAGAAGCTCAAAATTGAATTGAGCCATTCAGACAATAAACAAGGCTTGCCATAATGCAAGGAAGTCTTCCAACCAACTGTACTTCTTGGGAGCGCACTAAGACACAACACATTCACTTACACATATGCGTAAAGTGAATTCTCCAGCGTGACTGGTGCTTTTTTGTTTTGTTTACTTTACTGCAGCTTCACCTCATAGCAAAGTCTTGCCACTGTGACAATTGTACAGCACTTCAATGTGAATTCCAAGCCTGCATTTAGCCTTGAATTGGATTGAGAGAAGAGAACATTTCAATCTGGAATTGAATTGATTCCAGATTTTTGCTGAAATAAAATTATAATAACTCACATTCTGCAAAACAACATTGGAGAATTATAATAAGTTGCTTAAATATAGTTGTGTAAATTATAAGCAATGGTTCCAGTGAACAAGCTGGTATCTTGCAGTAAAAATAGCACTGTAACCATTCTACTAATTATGTGATTGTGCACACTTTAAATGAAATAAAGCAAAAGCTCCAGTTAGGCGTCTTTAGATCGTCTACTTCAATATCATCTTATCAGCAGATCGCATAAGAACAGATTACATTTATTTTAATTTTCATCTTCTTGTTTGTTCATATTTCACAAAGCGGCATTTTTAAAAAAATCAAAACATTAATACACTAGCGCTTTAATGTTTGATAAATTTATGCTTTCTCAACTTTGTGAAGTACGAAAATTTGCCAGACAGTAAATGAGGCTAGCCAACAACTAAAACAACTTCCTTCTTCCTTGATAATGCGAATTTGCTGTACTCTAATCCAGCATACACTGTTTCCGGCCTAATGTGTGGAAGTGGAGATTAAGGTCTGTTCACACAGATGATGTAAAGGCAACCGGACAACTTTACAATTTCTGACGTTTGTGCAAAACCATGGTTGTACATATTCATACAACCCAGTGACCCAAGCATGAAAGAAAGATCTGGATTGGATATTTTTACACTCCATAAAAATATGGAATGTAACTCCCTAGAGCATTACCTTCTACCCCATGCCCACCACACACCAAAAAAAAAGCCAAACACAGAATGCCTTGGGTCTGCATGTACTGCACCTCATGACCCAGCGGAAAAATTTGTGAAACCAACCCACGTAAGCAAATTCCATACACAATTCTAGTTGGAGACACTGAGGACACTGGTTAACTCAGCGCTACAATTTAAAGTTGGAAACTTCAATCATAATACCTAAAAAGTTAGCAAATTTACATTTTACACAGCCACACTTATAAACAGGAATTCAGATTGTAATGATGGACATCACTTAGTGCCAGTTTCAAGCAAACAACTTGGCTACACATCAATTTCTTGTATAATGAAAGTGTCAAAAACTCTCACATTGTAGCTGACCTCTTCTGGAGGTCCAATTTTCACTTCAATATTGCAGAGCGCTCAATTTGCTGACAAAAGCTCCATAATTAATCAATGTCAAACTCTCCCCGTCTGATCCTCTCCCTTCAACCTATTACAACCCCAGCCCCCCACCCCGCCCCCCACCCCCGCCACCCCTCACACACACACACAAAAAAACATAGATTTTAGGCTTTTTTCGCTTTTGGACAGAAAACTAACAGTGAACAGATTGAAATTCTCTTTCAACGTGGGTCAGTTTGAATTGGATTGTGGGATAAGCTGAATGCTCACGTCTCTTCGGCAACACTGGAATTTTACATTATAAAAAGGGTCGAAGGGTTACCACAATGCACTGAACCAAGGACCCTGAAATCATGGACCACGCAGCCATTCTGGCAATGTTGCTGGTTGGAGCTACCAGGGCTCAATGCTGCTGCAACCTGGACATCCCTTCCAGTCCTTTGACAGGCAATGCTGCTCTTAGCATACGGTAATTACTCACAGGCTTATAGTGTTCTCCAGTTTACAAAATACAGCTGCAATGGATCAGCATAAATTCAACGAATAAATAATTATTAGGGATAGTACTGACAAGCAAAGCTAACTGCATGCAAATACCCTCCTTCCTCTGTACGCTCTAATCACCAGTAAATTAAGTTTAAATACCACAAATATACACCAGCTTATTGGGCTTGACACTGAGAACTCATTTCATACTACTTTGTAAAAATTACACCCTCAATTTTCTATCTTTCCCAATAGGCTGCTCACAGTGTAAAATCCACCGATTGTCAGGAAGACAAAATTAGTCAGCGAAAGAAACACAAACATTAGTTAGACTACTGTTAAAGATCTACAGTTAAAGTACAACTCAAATCAGATGGTATTTGCCAGCTGATTAAACACTTCACAAAGCACAACAGAAACGTCTGCAGATGCACTATGATGCCCTTTGGCAAACTTGAAGACTAACATATATCATTAATTTTTAATTAAAAAGGAAATTCTGAAATTGAAGAATGTCAAACCAGTTAACGCACACTTTGATAACAGCACCATGCATACCCGATGAAGTACTGCATACATAAAATATAAATTTTACACTATGTTCATACTTCCAACAGTAAAACATTGTGGAGTAGGAAATATTCGTTATGCTTCCGCCCTGCATCAAGAGCTAGTTAAAACAAAAAAAGTGCTATTTTTATTTTTACCAACCCTTTAATAATACATATTCCCTTGACACTCCTTAGATCCATTGGAGCACACAAGAGCTGTCCATGAGCCAGCAAGAAGCAGAGCCTATTTGATTTGCAATAACTGCTCCTGAAATCATCTGTTTCAGATCTTACAAGGAGTCAGGCTTCAGCACAATTCAGGCTGGCTCTATTCCGATTGACGATGCTAAGATTTGTGGCAATTTGTGGCCTTGAAACTTGAAGCAAAATTGTAACATAAGCGGTGAATTAAGACAGGAAATATTTGAGAATACAGCTCAAGATACACAATATTAGTGCATCAGAGCATAACATCAGCTGTTAACCAGATACAAATTCCCTCTGAAATTTGACAAGCAACTTTTTTTTATTTCTTGATGAAACTAGCCAACGAAATGCGCTAAACTAATTCAAATACTGAATCTCTTAATCTGCAGGACAGAGAAAAAAAACTAATCAATGTGACAGATCCTATCTAATTTGATATGTAACAATTTTCTGCTGAGAGTTTTTTTTAATATATAAAATGAACTGGGAATAGATTTGCGATCGTAACGTAACTTTTTAAAAAAAATATATAAATTTGTCTACCTCCAGACAATTTCAAGATGCCCGAAGGCAAATGTGGCTGTCTGTATCAATTCATCCCACAGTTAGCTGGCAGGCGCTTTTTTTAACATGCACTGTATTCCAGACATGCACAGATGTTCAGATCTACCTTATATGTAGCAGAGGTTCATAAATAATTCTATAATGACTTAGGTTTTTTCGAGTACTTCAACTCGTGTGCCTATCAGTCTTCCTATGAAGAGCAATGCATGTATGGTAGATACATCCTTTTATGTAAGGCATTAATTAAACAAAACTATTCAAACAGGCCCATAGAGTTGAGCAATGTTGTGTAGTTGATAAATGCACTCTTCAGACCTCAACAGATTCCTGTAGACTCTTTTGAGGTTGATCAGCATTTTCCTCACCCCTGCCCTCCCATTACCCATTCAATGCAAAGCTATGAAGTCAACCAGATACATGAATTATTAATTGAAAGGGCATTTTCTATTAAACATGTTCTGAGAGGTCAATTTTGAGAACCAGGAGAATAAATACAATTAGATGTTATGGATAAGTTTATGTACAACAGGGGTGAGAACCATCAGTGGGAAAGAATGGCCTTTTCTCATCTTGAACTTGTCTTAAGCTCTTATTTATTGAAGCAAATATGTTAAAATGCATTCTAATTAAAACAAAAGAAACTTACCCTATTTTTCTTCCCTTATCTCTCATGATCAGATTTCTGTTACACAATCTCAGACATGGACAAATCTACCATTATAACCAACTCCAGAAAAATGACCTGGTTTAAATTAGATGCATCTAATGTAGCCATGTTTCTCTGCTTTAACAACTGCTTCCAGTCACTAGCTAGCACAGTGCTACACGTTTTTCCAACTAAAAACTCACAATGAAATAGAAATTATCAAGACATTTCACAAAATGACAGATACGGGATGCAAATTCACCCCAGAACTTACTAATTTCAATGCAATTCAGTGAATTACCATCGCTCTATGCAAGAGTTGCTTTCCGTAGTGCCGTCGTGCAATAAACCAGCTGTAACAATTGGAAAAAAAGGTTTTAGCTTGTGATTTATGTTTTGTTTCCTTGGGAAACAAGTGTGTACACAACCAAACTCACTGATGGACCTCACACAGAGCTGAGCTTTGAACATATTTACGTTGCACTAAGATGTGTATCAACCTGTGATTTTTTTATGGCCTCACTAATTCCAACCAGCTGCAAGTTAGATTAGATGTTTTTAATTCAGTCCAGTTGTATGCTAAATTTCATCTACATAGATTTAAAATCAATTGGGATCACATTCAATTTATTCCATGTGTACGTGGGTACATCAGTATCCGATCTGCCATTTCTACACCTGGGGAGACTGCAATTTTCCATCTGTCTTCTTTATGAACTGTGAAAAAGGAAAGCAATCACTTTTCAATACAAAGAGTAAAAAGCACATTGCACTCAACAGGAATACTAAACTAAAATCATGCTCCGTGTTAATCTATTCCAAATCATTTTTACATTTGCTTCCCAAAGATTTATCATCAAGCTGCTGCTATCTGAGCCAAAACCCATTTTGTTCTAAGCTGTTGTCTATGAACACAATGGGCTTGATTTTCTCTTTCATGATGTTGGCATAGTCTGCAAAGTACAAAAATGAGATACAGCACAAAAAATTGTGTGGCAGCACATGCTGAGTCACAAATTAATCTATATTCATTGTACAAGCACGTCCACCATCTATCTGACTGCTTGATTGTCTGCCTGTCTATCCATGTCAGTCTTCACTCCTTTTGCAGAAAGCAGCAAAAGGGAAACTCCAAATGATTTGATACTGGGTCACTTATTATTATATAAGCCAAATTCAAAGAATACTTCATTAATTGGGTCTGCAACATGGCAATTTCGAACAGGATTTCTTAACAAGGATTTTGAATAACAAATGGGGGCTCCTTCCAAGAACCAAAAGTGCTACACACTGCCCCACGGGAATGCCTCTCCAGAAGTAAACTGCATCAATAACAAGCAAGTATGAAGTTGGGGTGTGGGGGCAGTTTACAGCAGGAACAGGAGTTGGATTGAGCTGCCACATTGCTATAGTTTGCATACATTTGATCCATTAAAAACTAGCTACCCAGTGATTCCTACTTACTTGTGATTGGTACTTTGCAAAAGATAACAGTGTAGACAGGAAGATGCATGAGTAACTAGTATCATGCAATTTAATTGAGTAGCAATTCAGGCCCAATGCAATTTTGAGTTGTGTCAAATTTGTCCTATTTGCAGCAGTGAAGTGCCATTAATCTCAGCATCTGCTTTCATTATGTTTTGTGGCATTTTATCCCATATACTTTGCAGATTTGAGAAGTTGAGCTTTAAATCCTATGTAGCCTTTGCAATTCCCCGGACTTTCCCGATACATTTCTTCCCTTGTTTCTTTGCTTCCAGGCTATAATATTCCCAAAGTCTGATACATTACATTATATTTCTGTTACATTATATTTCTAGGAATAACAGGAAATCCAGACTGGTTTCATATTGATTTAGAACAAAAAGTAGAAATGAAATTAATGTTTTTCCTCTTGATTCATTTGTTAAATCTCCTACCTCCCTTTAAAATGACAAGTCTGTGCCTGGTTCAGTAGTAAATGCAATAACCTTCAACAAAAACATGACACTTTTTCTTAATTGGCTTGAAAATTATTTATTGCTTAGTAGCATAGTTTGACAAGCAGAATTATACAGCACTGCCCTCCGTTCCCTCTCCCGATTTGATGATTAACAGCCATGGCTGAAGGGTAAAGAGGAGAGATCAGCAGTGTTAAATACAGTATATAAAACTTATATTTCCTATAGGTGCATATCTTCAACACAAATCATACTAAGAAGGTGATTTTGTCTCTGGGTAAGAATCTTTGCCCTTTGCATTAGCCAAAGATTATTGTTGCGTTATTTAAGGCAATGAGGCATTGAATAGTGCATACCTTCATGCTCATAAATTCAGTAGGTCAAAGCAGCTCATTGAACAAGGTTGGGCTGTTAGATAAATACCTTTGTTATCAATCTGTGATGGATAAATAAGAGAAATTAAATAAATTCTGCCAACATCCTACTACTGCATAGGTTATAGATGGGAGTCAATGCCTTCATCCGGTCATTGTTGCCAAAATCAAACTATAATAATAATAATCCTTGCATTTGATATAATCTTTTCACGTCTTCTGGACGTTCCAAAGCGCTTCACAGAATATACTGTAAAGTGAATTGACTGTATATTTGTGGGCGAACGAGGCAGCCAATTGCACACAGCAATGTCCCACAAACTCATGGATTGAAAATGACCAATTTATTATTGTTTTGTTTTTTTGGAGGGATTATTATTAGGCGTGTGGAGTAAGGAAACTTGCCCAAGGTTTCGCCCTGCCTGGAATTGAACTCAGGTCTCTCACTTGCAAAGCGAGTGCTCTAACCACTGAGCTACAGGACTCCACACAGCTAAACAAAGCTAGGAGATACTGGAAACACACATAGGTCTATCAGTCGGTACTTGCAGGAGAAATGTTAACCATTTGGTTTGTCACTTCTTGAGAACTGCAATAATTGGGATGCATAAGATCACAAATAAAGGGCTCTGAGATGTGATCCCGCTTGAATGTTGTTGAATGCTGAAGGTAGAAAATTCAGCAGAATGAGAGCAGGCGGTAGGGGCAGAAAAGCAAGTCACAGAGAGATCAGATTTGTGGACAGAACTGACATGGTCGACTGTTCCAATTTCCTCTCTCTGCAGAAATTCATTTTGACTTCCTGAATATTGCATGATGTTATGGCTTTCTGTCCTTTGGGACCCTTATTCAAATCTAATCCAGACAAAAATGAGGAGTGATTTTCTGCCCGTCTGCTATCCAGACACTGACATACTGCAAATGTATAAGATGCCTCGCAAGGCAATGTCTCAGCTAGCCAATATTGATGCTAGCTCACATTTTCCAACACTGGTTTGAAATGATAATGACAAATGCCTGCTGCTGGTTCAAAAAAGACAATTAAGGCCATTATTGAGTTAGCAAATTCAATTACTTTTGTCACATTGCGTTTCTGGTCAATCCTACATTGTGCACAAAGAAAGGTTAAAGTCACCCTTAGAGCACGACTAAATAGATATATAAAACAGCAAATCCATCAAGAGGATGATATGACATTTGATCCTATTGTGGCTATCATTGCTAGTTTGAAGGAAGAACTGGATAAATCGAAGACTGAAGACAATCCTGGTAATCATCCAGTTCAGCAAACAGAATCTCCTGACAAATGATGAGCTTCATAACCCTGTCTGAAACCAGGACACACATATTGACCCTCTCAACATAACACCATTCATCCACATACAAGATTACAGATTATCTAAATATTCTAGAATGATACACATCTCATGTCAAATAATAGATTATCCATTTTACCATCTGTATAATTTCCTATTACCTGAATACACTATAATCTTGTTAACGCCATTAACTATTTCACTTTCTTCCTGCCAAGTTTCTCTCTGGTTGGTGATACGATTCAATCACTTGCTGGGATGAGAAAATGGCATATGATACCACAAGTGATAAATATCACATGGGACGTAAAACAAGTGTTCAAGGGGAGGGGAAAGAGAACAGTTCAGCCCTGATGCCAGTGATAACTAATGATTACTTTTGACCATATTTTGGTCAATGTGATAAACACTGAAACAATATCATATATCACAGATATGTTTTCTGGCATCTGGATTGAGGAATGTGTGTATTGGTGTTCCTCTCCTTTCCCAATAAAACCATTTTCTATGCCATTGTGTTACAGTTCTCATCAATTACTTATTTGAATCTCATGGATTGCTGCCCATTTGATGTCTTTTAGGGATCAAGAGGCGAATTTCCTACAGTGATACATTCCAAAGTGGATGGAAGTTAAATGCACTGAGACAAATAACAGTGTAAAGGATTGCGCGTCAACATCAAAAACCTCACACCCATGACAACCTTATTTGCCCCTTCCCCCTCTCTCTCTCTTTCTCTCTTCTATCCTCCCCCACTCATACGCTACTTTAAATCTAGTTGTAATGATACTCAGTCCCCGCAGTGTGCTCCGCTGGCACTAGTTACAAAGAACAGTGGAAACCTTTCTGTTTGACAGCTCTCTGCTCCTCACCTTGCTGAGCACGTACACACAACAACCACAGCTGAAAAGAACAGTAACACCATTGAGCTGATATTCACCTCTTGTGAAAATTAATTGGTCTCCAACAGACTTTAATGGAAGTACTCGAGTATTTAATAGGTTTGTCATTTTATTGTGACAATTTGCAATACTGTATTTAATTAAGGGCCCAATCCATGACTGAACACTTTAAATGCACGTATTCTGTCTCACAAATAGTTAATTTACTTACATTCCAATAATGCAAGTTCTTATAGACGTCCCTCTATCTGACACAAAGAAACTCTGTACTAATTTGCTAACATATAGAATTGGCTGAATAATCAATGTTTCTTAGGAGTCGATGATGATTTGACCTCCAGAACAATTTAACAGTCCTACGAACAGCCATGAAGTGAATGATCAGTTTTATATGGGGGATTACACATATTCCTAAATTCAAGAAAAGAACATTATTTTTAACCGGTAGCTGGGCTCCAACTATCTCAAACTACTGTACTAAGTGGTGAGGAGAGAACAGGTGTCCGTCCTTTCAGAGGAAGGGAAAAAAAAATCAAATGGAGAGATAGCTGTGTTTCTCTCAAGCATCTCCTAGCAACGCGCTTAGAGCAGCACGGCGAGACTGTGTGCAGGTCATTCCCTCCCTGTCTTTTAGCTGTAGGTTGTAGTGGTTGTAGAGGAAACGGAAGATTGTATGGTCATAAAATACGTGCTTCTTTAATTTGCCCTTTCTTAAAAATGCACTCTAAAATGCTCACAGCTAAAGTTCAGAAGTAAATTTCCCACCAGATGAAATTAATGGAGGCATCCAAATTGGAGAACAAATCGGGTAGTTCATGGGGACAACTGCTGTGCAGATTCCACTGGTACAATGCTGTGTTTACTGCATTAGATGAGAAAGAAGGTAGCATGACATGATAGAATTTAGCTAATTATGTCAGATTAAGAGGGCAGGATGAATGGGGAAAGAATAAAAATCATCAGGAAAGTAAATACCTGTAACAGTTGTAAAAAGAATTTGGTAGACGACATAGTTGAAAGGACAGCCCCTACAACCATGTTCAGTAATGCAGTATGACATAAAACTGTATGATACAAGGGGAGAAGAAGACACATTGTGGACTATGTTATTGGTTGTTCACCTACAAAATAGACAGTCACTACACTTTACAGTAAATCCTATGAAGCACTTTTATACATCCTCCTAACATGAAAAAGGGTCTGTATCAAATGCAAGGATTATTACTGTGAAATATTCTTTGTGAACTTATAATAGACAATTATGGAAGCCCCCTATGGAAAATAGTTACTATCTGTACATACATAAAGTACAAATATTAAGCTATTAATAAATTAAAATATTGATCACATTTCTGGTTTCTGTAGTAGTTCTGTAGATTTCATGTCAAACTTTGACAATTCCATCTCCCCCTGTAAATCTTTCACGTTTCAAGATTAAAATCTCCTGAACTACTGTTCTCAGCCGCTCCCTTTCTATGCAAGTTCTGACACAAGCGTATTATTGATCCAAGCATAATGTTTCTTGGTAATTTTACATGCTTTTCATTGGTTCTGAACACACAAAAGGAAAGAATGGCACAATAATGAGCCATAATGGAGATAAGTGTAATGCACAATACTTCCATTCAAATGATCAATAGATGTTACTTACAGTGCAAATGGTTAGCTGTTGAAGGTCATTCACAATATGAAGCAGTAAACAGCCTTAACAATCTTGACTCTTAATATACTAACACTATGGAGAAGAATCTAACTGAATTTAACTGGCACAATAACTTTTAATACTTTGTTCTCTGCAATGCACCACATCATGACTATAGCATATTCTGTAACAGTTGCATCCAACTCATGAGAGCCTGAGTTTCCTCATTTATGCCCTATTTGAGCCATTCCATATAAATGTTCCAACAGGATTTGTACAGCATTAAGTATCAACTTGGCCAGAACAGTACATAGATTTGTACTCAATCAATTGACTGTTATCTGCTCTCAGGAAACAAATGAAACACATAGCTGTTTTTCATACAGCAACTGTCTATAATTGCTACTAGTTTATATTTGTACTGCTATGTGGCAATAAAGGGCTTTTTATTTGGAAATCTTGTAGGATGACTGATTTCTAGACAGGGAAAGAGAGAGAGAGAACAGCCTATGTGCAAGTCTGTGACTATTGAAAGCCCATTTCCTCACACTGTGCTCACTGCTTTGTATCCAGTTACTGAATAAAGAAAGCCAGGTTAGAAAAATATAAAGCATCATTGAGATATTTGAGCCTACCTGCTGTGACAAATGGTCCTCTTTGCACTCTGAAAGTGTCAGACAAGGATGAATTGGTCAGGTAATGTACCTGGAATGAAGCCAAATTACATATTATATTGCGCAGGCAAATTAGACTTTTAACCAGGTGATAAGTCAGTTGACACAAGGCAAAACTAAATAAGGCAATACATAGAATTAGTTGCAACAGAGTATATGCTTCGGTGTACAACGATATACAACAACTAAAGAAAATATTAATTTTTATAAAGTATATTGATTGCCTGGCTGTTTGTGGAGAGATTGCTGTGCGCAAACTGGCTGCTGCATTCACCTATAATACAGTCACTACACTTCACAATAAATCCTGTGAAGCACTTTGAGATGTCATCTCAACATGTATCAAATGTAAGCATAATATTGTATTTGATTGCAGGCGGTAACCATCTATTTGTTTTCTGATAGACAGAAAGGTCCAGAAATACACAAAGAATTTTGTTTGAATTCTAGCATTTTATTTTCTACCCTTTTATCAATTAGAATAGTGCTCAAGCTAAATAGAATTCCAACTCGTGCCAAAGCTGATATCACTGCACTCTTTAGCCAACTGGTAGAAGTGAGCAGAAGAAGCCAAGTCTGCTCAGTCCTCACTTCCCTATGGAAAATGACTAGCAGCCATTAGTACTTCTCTGTGAATCATGGTTCAGTTGTTAACAGTATATATTGGGAATTGTGGCACAAACTCACACTACCACTGCAAAATACAAAGTACCTAACTTCCAATGTGCTCTCCCCCATGGCAATTCAATTCTTATTAAATAGTCAGCCTTTACTGCTTTTACTAGACATAGATACTATAATGACAGAACCAAATTAAGGAGTGATGCAACGATAACATGCATTTATAGAACGCCCTTCACATGGGGTAGCGTCTTAGGGTATTATATCATTAGTATTATTATAACCTGCTAAAAGGAGAAGAAATGTGAGTCACAAGGTAACAAGAGCTTGGGATGAATAAATCTTTTGGGCCAAATTTCATCTCATCTTTCTGCCATTCTAACTGGAGTCTTCTCATTAAATCAAGAAACAGCAAACTGAGAAAAGAAAAAGTTGAACTATCCAACTTTCACTGAAGGAGTATGGACACATGTAACTTTCAACGAACGGCAATTAGGCTGGGTTACTGATGATAACCTATTGACTCCAGAGATTGTGTAACACAATTTTGAAAGGGAACATTTAGAACTAAAACATAAAAGTTCTTTGAAATGGAGACTGTTCCATAATGTGTATTCTAAAGCCATTAAAGCTTCTGCTACAAAGAACTAGGACTTAAGTTACAATGCACAGGCCTGGAAGTAACAGAATGAGCAGCATGAAATGGATTTCACTTCACTGTTGTGGCTACATAAATTACTCAGTGAATTCCAGTTTAACCCACTTTATATCCTTGAGATTCCACAAGCTGTTTTCCAGTCAGATCACCTAGATGAAAAGTGACCTGTTAAAAGTTGCAGGAACTTGAGTCAATGCAATCACTGTACAAAGACACATGTATTCAGCATCAAGGTCTCTATTTTTTTTCCAGATGGGAAAATCACTCATTGCTGAATTTACTGCATCAACTACTGTACTACCACGATGGCAAGCAGTTTTAAGGAGATTATAAAGGATCACATTTCTATTCATATCTCAAGGTAATGACTAAAAGCCAAGGTCTGTCTTGTTTTTTCCACTGTTTCCTCTTCTGATTTCCTGCTATTGCGGTCATCGTCAATCGAAAATACCTGTCTGTACAACACACAAAAAGATTAGAACGGTTTCAACACGCAATTGTTTTCATGTCAAACTCATTTAACTTTAACCAATGACCTGGTTAGGCACACAGCATGACATTTTTACACAACTCTCCAGACATCAAATACGTGCTTAAACTAAGGTAGTCTGAACTCTCTCACAGATAAGCGTTCTAGCTTCACATTCAGCACTATCAATTTCCAGTGTGATTCTACTCTTTTTGAATGAAAATACAAATGTTAATAAAATAATAATCCTTGCCTTTGGCATCTCAAAATGCTTCACAGAATATACCGTAAAGTGAAATTACTGTATATTTTATAATATGAAATTATGGTTCCATTTTAATCTATCATCACCCACCGCCGATATAAACTGTGAAATTACAGATACTGCCATCACAAAGTCCACAATAAACAAGCAGCTATGCCAAAACCAGATTCTGATGTGTTGTGCCAAGCCCAAATATCTCTTGCAAAATATTTATTAACTTTTCAGTATTTTATTCAATTATTATATGGGAATAAAATAAATGCAATTAGATTAATTTCTCAACGCAGAGACCACAAGCAACACCATTTCAACAAGGTTTAACATATGTCTAAATACATGTTTAAACTAAAATCTAAAGGTCAAATCTAAAACGCGGAACAAGATCACATGAACTTTTTTTTAAAAACTACACGGCAATATAGAGTACTTCTTATCTCTGATGACTGACAACCACATTATGATCTCAATGAGAAAATGACACATTCCACTCTTAAAAGGACGCTCAATCTTACATCAGATGAATCTGTCTCCCTTCCTTGTTTTCATTCCCTGCCAGTTTTCAATCCCACTTTGCTCCAGTCGTTCTTGCAGGTGGCCCGTGGATCATTATGCCTGCGCTTCTTAATAATATCACAGCTTGTACAAACTAATTTCCTTCCACTTTGAACATATGACTGAGCAGGTGTCTGCCTAATCACTTCAAGCAATTCCTTTGCGGCCGTCAGCTGTTTTGCCATCAGCCCTGCTCACATGGTCTTGCAGCAAATTCCAGTAGTCAGCAAAGTAATATGCATCAATTAACCTGGTCATTAACTTTAGCGTCCCATTTTGAACTCTACTCTAGAGGATTTTAAGTGTACAATATGATCATTTGTCTTCACTTTTGTAACCAAGCAAATCTCTCACGTGGAACAATTATATTTTCAGTTCACAGTTCTAAATAGTTGAGTTGATGAATATTTAAGGCTTTTCTTCCACAACGAGCCCTGCCTGGTACTATTCTTGCTGCTTCCTTGTAATGAACATAAGTTCATTACTTCTGTTCTTCTGGCATCAAGCTCCAGCCGGCATGCTATTATTTTTCCACCTATGAGTCATGGTCAATCAGTGCACTTTATGACAGATTTGTCTGTGCATTGTATATGCATTATAAATCTTGCCTTGTGTAGAATAGGGCTCTGGAGACTTTTGAACAAAGTATGTAGTATCCCCTCAATCCGTCCGCCTTGCCCCTCTCTCCCCTCTTTCAAGTCCCGCCTGAAGACTTTTCTGTTCAACCGTGCTTATGGCTAACTCCCCACTCCCCCGGCTCGGAATCAGGCTCCGCCACTGTTAAGCGGTACTGAGACGCTACCCTGGTGGAGGGCGCTATATAAGTGCAAGTTGTTATTGTTGTAGTGCGACACAACTTGTCTGAAATAAGCCCTCACTTGAAATTACAATCGTCTTTGATTGTAACTAGTTTCTGTGTTCTCATAAAACTCTTATAATTGCAATGTTAGATAATTAGATCATCTCAGTGTTAGATGATTTAATGAGTCTGTGCATCAGAACAGCTGCTTCCTGAAAATTGACAGATGCGATACCAATAAGAACGGGGAATGTCAAGTAAACTTTTTTGTCACATAAAAAGTTGTCCTTACAGCAAACAGTTTAGTTCCTTAAAAATAACAATTGTTGCATTTGATGTAGCGCCTTTCATGCAAGGAAGAGGTCTCAAAGCACTTCACAGCATTTTAAGTGTAATGATTGTGACCTTTATAGGTGAATACTTTCCTTTCTCTAATAATAATCCTTGCTTTTGATTATAGCACCTTATCACGTCTTCAAGACATATCAAAGCGCTTTACAGAATATACTGTAAAGTGAATTAACTATTTTTGCAGGGAATATAAGCAGGGAGAGAATACACATTCAATACCAGACAAATAGAAATCATGCATGGAACTCAGTTCATTGGTTTGGAGACACTTAAGGATGGTGATGGATTTTCACATGTCATACACCTTCGCTTTAATACCTATATTGGCTGCTTACAATTTTCTTTCAACTCTCTCAGAAGTTTAACAGTTCCACTCTTCAACAATCAATCCAGAACGCTGAGCAAAATGTTAGCTACACATTTCTACAAAACCTGCAATCATTTCTCTAGTGCTCATTAGCTCATATACTTTCTTCAGTCCAACCATCGGTTCCTAATAGATTTTAAACTTTCTCCTTTTTTGAGGCATTGTAGGATGTTCTTTCCACCTCACTAAGATAGAGGGTCTTGAGCGATCATGAGTTTACCAGGTCCTGTTCTTTTCACATCAATTATTACTGACTTTCAACACACAGAACAAACCAACATTAATCTCTGGTTACACATTTCGTTCTTTGCTAGAATTTAATTCCAACTTTTCACATGCTGGGCTCCTACCTTCTCTTCCACATAGATTCATAGAATTCATAGAATGTTACGGCACAGAAGGAGGCCATTCGGCCCATTGAGTTTGTGCCGGCTCTTTGACAGAGCAAGTCACTTTCACTAACCCCAATCACCAGCTTTCTCCCCATAACCCTGCAAACTCGTCTTCCCCAGATACCTATTCAGTTCTCTCTTAAAAGCTGTTATTGAATCGGACTTCACTACCCTTTCAGGCAGATCATTGCAAATTCGAACAACTCGCTGAGTGAAAAAAATTCTTCTAACCTCCCCTCTGCTTCTTTTGGTAGATATCTTAAGACTGTGACCACGGGTCACAGACACACTTACCAGCGGAAACAGCTTTTCCTTACCTAGCCTGTCAAAACCTTTCATGATCTAGAAGACCTCGATCAGGTCCCCGCGTAACCTTCTCTGCTCTAATGGAAAAAGTCCTAACTTCTCCAGCCTGTCCTCATAGCTAAGGTTCCCCATTCCTAGTATCAATCTCGTGAATCTCCTCTGCACCCTTTCCAGTGCCTTAATGTCCTTCCTGAAGTAAGGTGCCCAGAACTGGACGCAGTACTCCAGCTGAGACCTAACCAGTGTTTTGTATAGATTAACCATAACCTCCCTACTCTTATACTGTATGCCTCTACTAATAAAGCTCAGTACACCAAATGCCTTTTTTACTGCCTTATCTACCTGCCCCACTACCTTTAATGATTCGCTTACTTGAACACCCAGATCTCTCTGCACGTTCACCCCCCTTAAGATTGAGCTCCAAGTCTATATTGCCTCGTATCATTTTTCCTACCTAAGTGTATCACCTCACACTTATCCACATTGAAATCCATCTGCCACATGTCAGCCCATTCCACCATTCTGTGTATATCTGCTTGCAGTTTGTTACAGTCCTCCTCACTATTTACTACCCTACCCAACTTTGTATCATCTGCAAACTTGGAAATGGTGCTCTCTATGCCCAAGTCCAGATCATTAATATATGGAAATAGAAAGAGCAGTGGTCCCAATACCGATCCCTGGGGGACATCGCTGCACACCTCCTTCCATTTCGAGAAACGCCCATTAACCACCACCCTCTGCTTTCTGTCACTCAGCCAGTTCTTAATCCAAACTGCCACTGTCCCCTTAATACCGTGGGCCTCTAATTTTTGTATTAATCTCTTATGCAGTAGTGTGCCAAAAGCCTTTTTGAAATCCATATGAATATCGTCCATCGCGTTTCCCTCATCAACCCTCGCAGTCACCTCTTCAAAAAATTCTATTGGATTTGTTAGGCAAGATTTGCCTTTAACAAATCCATGTTGGCTGTCTCTAATTACCTCATGTTCCTCTAAGTAGAGATTTATTCTGTCCCGGATTATGGTCTCCAGTAGTTTTCCTATTACCGAAGTTAAGCTGACTGGCCTGTAATTTCCGGGTTTGTCTTTCTGCCCCTTTTTGTAGAGTGGGGTAACATTAGCCACTCTCCAGTCTCTTGGCACCACTCCTGTGTCCAATGAAGATTGAAATATAATGGCCAAAGCCTCCGCTATTTGAACCCATATCTCCCACAGCAACCTTGGGTGAAACCCATCTGGTCCTGGTGACTTATCAATTTTTAACCCAGTCAATCTTTTCAGAACTTCCGGTCTATAGTAATCTGATCTATTTCTTCTACCCTCTCATCCAATATTGAGGCATTTGGGGCATCCATTTCCGTTGTGAAGACAGATGTAAAGTACTCGTTCAGTGCATCAGCCATGCCCTCCGCCTCCATAACAAGATTGTCTTTGATTGGCCCCACCCTACCTTTAACTAACATTTTTTCCTTTATCTGTTTGTAAAATATTTTAGGATTCCCCTTTATGTTACCTACTAACCTCTTCTGATGCGATCTTTTAGTCTGTCTTATCACTCTTTTAAGATCATTCCTGCATTCTCTATAATGCGCTTTGGTATCCTCAGTACCATGCGTCTTCCAATTGTCGTATGTCATCTTGCCTTTGATTTTTAACCATTACACCGCTCCATTTTCCAATTTATTGAACTCAATGAAACCACAAAACTATTCAAAAGCTATCTGACTTATTAGCTTAACAGAATATCACCGTCTAGACAAAGCTGTCATGACTTCAGATTTGCTCATAGTTTTATATCTGACTACAGACTCTTGTGACTAACATGAACATTTATGAACAAGAGCATAGGTGGCAATTAATATTTTAAAGTGGTACAAATAATGAATATAATAAGTTACTACCACCCAAAAAAGGTTAGAATACAAACATTAAAATAGTTGGTTCTTTAGTTCTCTTGTCAAAGAATACGCCTCTGAATTTTTATAACAAGCTGTTTGCTGTAATGCTCCATTTTAAATAGTATTTTGGTATCTACAACAAATTTAATTAAATGGAAAATATCTATTTTTTAATGATCATGTTCCTTTTTGTCAAATCTCTTTACTCTTTATTGAATTCCACAGCAGATAAATAGTCTTAAGTTCATTCTGCTTGTGCAGGCACATGTCTATGGAGCTGTAGGAAGGCGTGGATACAGTTAGGAATCCTCCCATATACACTAATCCACACCTGGCATATTGTAGAATTTATAGTTCAAATACTGTCAACCCCACCCTGAGTGCGTGCTGTCCATGGAAGTAAATTAGATTGCACTTCAGAGATCTGAGGGGCTGCTTGCATCAAGAGAAAGCTTTATTGAGCAGTCCAGAGTATTCCTGCGGGGAGGCTGAAACTGCGGCTTGTCTTCTGAATAGGCAGAATAGGTTATAATAATGTCACTTTGTGATAATCAAAGCACTGAAAGTATAGAATGACACCAAAGCACAAATAAAACAGTTCATTCCTCAGTGCAATCGAGTATCACTTCCTGCGGTGAAGGGTGAGATGGCCCGGCCCTAACACACTAACCTTTCAAACGCTAAGCCATGGGTTTGAAGCAGCAATTCCCCATGAACAAGCTGCAAGTCTTACATTGTACATTCAGGGGTGAGGCACTTTCCCACAGGAAGGGAGAGAACTGAGTGGGTGCGTTTCCTCAGGTTGTAATCATATCCCTCTGATTCCAAGCCGAGGAGTGGCAGTGTAAGGAGGCTGCTTTCACAACATCTTTTCAATCGTAATATCTAACACGCAGCTAATTGTAAAGGAGGTAGAAGTCTGGAAACTTGCATGGAGTTGATGGAACCTGCTTCACTGCACATTGCTTCAAATCACCTAATGGACAATTCTTAACTGTAAAGGCATTTCATGTTGCATTTGTTTTCTTTTTGGTGAGCCAGTGCCTGACACACGCGAAAACCCATTACCATGTGCTTAAGGGTATCTGAACCAGACAGAGTTCCACATATGTATGCCACTCACGTTTACCTTAAGGGGACTTTGATACTAAATTGAGCCAAAATAATATTTGCTTTCAAGAATCACTTGAAACTGGTATTCAAAGCTTGATATTTCTGTACAGTACAGTTTAACCCTTCAAGCATTTGAGTGGCTTAGATATGTTCTGTTAAC